ATTCTCACTTCCAAGGAGAATTCCAGCTGTACTTCGTCCAGGATACATTCTTCTAGCAGTCCATTATATTTTCAGTATTCTTCACCAACACCATAATTCAAAGGTATCAATTCTTCTTCAGTCTTCCTTATTCATTGTTCAACTTTCACATGCATATGAGACAACTAAAAATATCATGGCTTGGGTTAGGCGTACCTTAGTCTTCAAAGTGACATCTTTGCTTCTTAACACTTTAAATAGTTTTTTGCTGCAGATTTGCCCCAGTGCAATACAATGTCTGATTTCTTGACTCCTGCTTCCATGGGTGTTGATTGTGGATCTGAGTAAAATGAAATTCCTGAAAATTTCTATCTTTTCTCCGTTTATCACAATGTTGCTTAATTAACAATAGCCATTGGTTTCATGAAATGAAAGGATTTTACTATTCCAGAATTGGTTGTTTTCAAAGGTTGAAGTCATAGGAGAAACCCAGAGATGTTTATTATAGTATGTTATATAATAAAATAAAAATAATGAAAAACTGTAAGCAAACAAAATTTCCAACAGTACGGTAATGAATAAATAAATCACTAGTATTTACTTCCCATGTAATATTCTACAACCATACAATATGATGTTTTATGAAGTATTTTTAATGACGTGGTTGTTCAAATTGTAAAATAAAGTGTCAAAAAAAGACACAAAAAAATTTGATGAATGTCCATTGTTTTTGCAGTGCATATAGGTTGCTGTGTGCCATCCAGAGCTATATCTAAGGTATGGTAGGTATGGCATGAGTTCTGGGTGCCACTTGAAGTGGGAGTGCACTGAGCAGTTTCTATTAACCATCTCAGTTTCCATTGCCAGCTGTGAGACATTATTCAGCAAGTTAAAACTAATACTTTTGTATTTTAGATCCTCCATGGGTCAATGAGAAGCCTGGGTGGTGCAGTGGTTAAGCTCTCAGCTAACCTAAACATCAGCAGTTCGAACCTACTAGTCATTTCGAGGGAGAAAGATGTGGCAGTTTGCTTCTTTAAACATTTACAGCCTTGAAAACCCCATGGAGCAGTTCTGCTCTATCCTATAGAGTTCCTGTAAGTTGGAGTTGACTCAACAAAAGTGAATTTGTTTTGGTTTTGGATGGGTCAAGGCAGACTGTGATTTTGCTCTGCTCAGTGTAGAAAGAAAATAAACTGAAAAAATGACTTTGAGCACATCATAGACCAATTTTTATCAGTGAAAGCAAGGAAGATACAGTGCTATAATGTGTTAAGTAAAAGATTAATGAGCTTGATTTGTATTTTGAACTGATATTATGGTAAAGTTATCCAAAAGATGGGTCTCAGATGTTTGAACAAGTGTGCAATTTCAATGCTTGCTATGGGTGCTCTTTACCATAGATAACACCTCTGGTGTCATCAAGTCAATTCTGACTCTATAGTAATCTTATATCCACTGCTGTGGAGTCGGATCTGACTCATAGCGACCCCTTTGGGTTTCTGAGGCAGTATCACTACGGAAGTAGATTGGCCAACCTTCCTTCCAAGGAGGGGCTGGTGGATTTGAACCACTAGCCTTCTAGTTATCAGTCAAATGCCTTAAGCACTAAGCCACCAGAGCCCCTATCTTATAGGATAAAGTAGAGCTACCCCATAGGGTTTCCAAGGCTGTAGTCTTCACAGGAGCAGATCACCAAGTCTTTTCTTCCTTAGAGCCACAGGTGGGTTTGAACTGCTGACCTTTCAATTAACAGTCAAATGCATAACCATGTGCCACCAGGGCTCCTTAATGCATATACAAAGAATTTTATTTTTCAAATGATATCATATATCATACCGTATATGACAGATTGCTTTTTCATGGATTTAATAAATTTTTCAAGGCTTTCAATATTCTTCTATAACTGAATTTTAAGAGACAGTATTCTTTTTTTTTTAAGAACTGAAATTGCCTTCTTTAAACCACTTTCCTTTTTTTTTTTTTGTCATATGTGCTTTTTAAAAAAAAAATTTGGTAAAATGGGCTGGGCAATCTACTTCTGTAGTGATACTGCCTTAGAAACCCAAGGAGGAATTGCTATGATTTGAATCCAACTCAACAGCAATGAGTTTAGTAAAATATACACAATATAAAATTTGCCATTTAAATAATTTTCAGGTGTACAATTCAGTGACATTAATTATAATCTCAATGATGTGCAACCATCACCACTGTTTCCAAAACTTTTTCATCATCCCAAGCAAGCATTCTATTTTTTTGGATGGCCTATAATTAACCAGTTTCCTATTACTGGACATCTATATTTTCCATTCTAAAAATAGTGCTTTGACTCTCTCTCTCTAAATTCTAAGAAGTTGCATTTCTACATGAAGAAGTATATATAGTTCTGTGTCTTTTGATTATTCCCATTTCTTAGATTCATACAGCCTTAACATTTTATTTTTACTTTTAGTTGTCAGTGCTACAGCTTCTTTCTTCAATGCCCAGAAAATAAAGGCGTCAACCCCAGAGCCAAACATATTCCCAACAAATGCTGTTAGGCTAGGAAGACAGCCTCTTTGAATTTGGCTTCCATTTCTCTTACTGCATTCACCACAAATTTACCATGTGTTTGGAGTGGAACCCCTGCAATCCTTTCCATTTTCCCTGCTGTCTAAGAGCAGTGAAGTCTCTGAATTTTCTCTGTCCACACAGCTCTTTAAATTTGTATACAGCTCCCAACTGTGCCAACAAGAATTTAATGTCTGGCTCATGAATGTAATTGCTTTCAATGCTACAGGTTTTCACTAAAGGGGTACATTCAATCCAGTCATACGTCTCCCCTACTATTGTGAATTATTTAGAGAATGTCTCTATAAACACTTCTTCAAATCCTTGAAGAGTTGTACCCAATCATATAAGGATTTCAAAGGCATATGCTAAACATCACTACAGTTGACCATCAGTGATGAGTTAAAAAAAAAAGTATTACTACATCAACAATTTGATAAATGGAATCTTTATGCTGATGGTCTTTAAGTTATTCCACGTAAAGGAGATGGCATATTCTGGTTTGTTCTGAGGACTTCATAACACCTTTATGCTGCAAAAACTATTCCAAAGAAGTAGAGTTTGATGTCTAGACATCTTTAGGGCAGGATGCAGTTCCAATATTTTTCAGCTCTCCACTTGGCCCTTGGCATGGTTCTAGACACAAAGAAGCTACTTGTCCCACACTTCTTGAATGGTTTTGCTAAATATACCTGAAATACAGTCACAATAAATGGCTGTGCCACTGAGTCTTACTCAGTCCAGCAGATCTTGTCCAGGAGCTCCTTCATTGTCATGTGGTCCCACTCTTCTGCAAGGGGAGCCTTCCATGGAGCATCGCTGGGAATCTACATTCAGGTGAGTATTTCAAGGGGAAAAAAAATAAATGTCATTTTCCATTTTAAATAATAATTTGAATAGTATTAAAAACTCTAAGTTAAAAAAGAAAACGTAAGTTTTCCAAATTCCTGCAATAGTTACTTTTACAGCACAACCAATGCTGTTTGTGAAGCTTTCCTATGATAGAGCTACACCGTGTAACCCATATTTAATTTATGATAATACTTCCTATGCAATTATTGCAAGGAATGTCTTAATTGGGCTTTTCCATATATGGATTAATAAATTACTAATTTAGTGAGAACTTTCATGTATTCAGCTCTTTAACAAGGATTAGACATCTACATCAAATCATACTGAAATTGGAGTTTAGGTTAAGCTTTTTGTACAGGTGTTTATTTATAGACTGCAGGTTTGAGCATGGGGGGAACCCAAAGACCCAGAAGTCTTATTTTCCTATGTCTTAAAGATTTTCTAAAATAGAATCATCATTTCAGGAAGGCTGAGTAATTACGATCTTTCTCCCCTCATCAGTAGTATGCAAAGAGCAGTTTATTTGGTATATGATTATTTCAGAGGTTGGAAACAAGTTCATTCATTCATTTCACAAATCTTTACTGAGAGCTACTATGTGCTAGACAATATGCTAGGCACTGGTTGTACAATGCTATACCTTCTTTTTTCTTTTAAAGACTGATCTTATTATAAAAAATACCCATATAGCCAAGAAACTTTAGGAAGCTTTACCTCTTGTCCCATTTCATCCATTGTCCTCCATAGGTTGTTATGATCTAAATAGGCAATTGGATTCCACACTGGTGGGAATGGTCCCCTGAAAGGGTATGATTTTCCCTGTGAAATACAAGATATTTTTAAAGGGAAACATTTACTACAACAAAAAAGTAGTTAAATCTGACCAGTTGCTAAATGTCTACAAACTAAATCATGTTAGTTATCAATACGTGATATACACTAAAGTATGTTAGTTCTGCATATCCTTAAAACCCTTATTCAGTTTTTTAGCTGGATTCCCAGCAAAATTCTCTGCCAACTAAGTAAGTTTGGTGCCACAACAACCATGGTAATGAAGAGATTTCTCTCTGAAATTGGAACTCGTGCTATATAAAATTTAAATACCAATATAGAAACGGGGTTACCTAAAGTAATCTATTTTGCCAATGACACTTGCAAATATCTCAGGGTTAGGAGATCCTGGTGTGCCTGGAGTGTCAGAAAAGTATAACTATAAACTATACAAGTTAAAAGGGGGTGAACAATAAAATAGCAAGAATGCAATCATCAATAGGAAAAGCAACAAAAGGGGCCCAGCAGGCTTTCCCAAGGAGTCAGAAGTGTTATGTTAGGTCAACACAGAAGCTCCCCAAAATCAGTAAGGTCAAAGCAGAAGGAAGAGAAAAGTAAAAGCCTCTTCTTTGGAAATATTTACAGTACCTAGCTCTCTTGGCACTGACATTTAGACACAAAGATAAGGGAATACCTGTTTCCAAGGTGTGATAGTTGGAGCTGTGTGTCAACTTGGGTGAACCACAATTCTGTGTGGTTTAAGCTGTTGTGATGTGGTTATTCCCATGATGGGATCAGATGTATATGTTTTGAGCAGCCACTCTGTTGAAAAGGAGTTTCCCTAGGGGTGTGACCTGCTTCCAGTATATTTATGGACATCCTTGGAAAAGAGACATTCTTCTGTGGATCGGGATTGTGTTGTGCTTCCCACAACTGTCTGTCAGCAAATAATCCATCATTCGACCTTGAGATCTTGGATTCATCATTCCTTGGAGTCAACAGCCAGTATACTGCCTGTCAACCTTGAGCTCCTCAGCCCCTGAAGCTGCGTGAGTCTGGAAAAGCCTCCAACTTGACATTTGATTCAAGAACTTTGGGCTTGCCAGCTTCTATAAGTGTGTGAGCCAATTTCCTAAGATAAATTTCTCTTTCTATCTATAAGCTTTACTGGTTTCTTTAGAGAACCCAGTCTAACACATTTGGTACCAGGAGTGGTTCTAGAGAGACAAAATCATAAGGATGGGGTTCCTAAATTGGTTCTCCAATTTGATTAATTGTAAGGGCACTGATGACCATGCCTCCATTAGTAAAGAGGGCCCTGCTAATCCATGGTGTGAGGTGGCAACATTAATATGCAAAACAGCACCACCAATAGATCAAGTAGAGCTCCAGGTGATCACATATTTGATACTTTGCTGCAATTTTGTCAGCATGAGGATTATAAGGAAGCTGGTTTGTTAGACTTAGTTACACTAGACAAAGTGGTGAAAGAGCGAGATGAGCTTAGGGCTGTGGAGTCACAGCTTAAACACCATATAAAAGACCTCAATGTTTCCAGTTGTGCTCTGAAAGAAAGCCTTATTTCTTCTAGTAACAGAGCTGATATTGCCAAAAACCAAACCTATAGTCTTATTGTAAGGGTGGCTGAATTACAACACCAATAAATTGCCAACTCAGAATGGTGTCTGAACTTAAAGTGAGGGCACTGGTTGGGAAAAAATGGGATCCTGAAACCTGGAATGGGGGCATAAGGGAAGATAGGAAGATCAGGATATGGAGCTGGTAAATTCTGTTGGATCCCTCCCATCTGAAAGGATTACTGTAAAACCATTATCCCCTCCACCTCAGTTTGAAGGGATGAGCTCCACTGTTCCTCTTGGGAGGCAGAGGCATTGCATGAGGCAGAGGCCATGGAAGACATTGCTGAATGTTCTCAGGAACTGCCCCAACCACCCATTGTTGCTGCTAGACCTATAACTAAAGTTAAGTCCAAGTGAGCCCCCAAAAGTGAAATACAAAGTGTGACTGAGGAGATGGTATACTATACCCAAAAAGACCTACTTGATTTTGCTAACATGTGCAGACAGAAACCTGGAGAATATGTGTGGGAATGGCTACTGAGGGTGTGGGATAATGATACAAGGAATGTAACATTGGATCAATCTGAGTTTATTGATTTAGGCCCACTAAGTACAGATTCTTCATTAACGTTTCAGCTCGAGAGGTTAGGAAAGGATCTAATAGCTTATTTGGTTGACTTACTGAAGCATGGATTATGTGGTGACCTACCTTAAGTCAAGTTGAAACACCAGACCTGTCTTGGTATAATGTAGAAGAAGGTATCTAGAGGCCTGTTGGAATGGATTTATCAGATTAGACCCCTAGGGCCAGAAATGGAGAATCCAGAAGACACGCCTTTCACCAGTATGGTGAGGAAGAAATTTTTGAAGGGCGCTCCAGCATCCTTGAAGACTGCTGTGATTGCTATTTTATGTAAGCCGAATTTGACAGTGGGAACTGCCCTAATTGAACTAAGACACTAAACTACGATGGGGCTGATTGGGCCCCATGGTAGTAGGGGCCAAGTGGAAGAAGTTAATCGACAAAAGCAAGGTGGTCATGGTTGCCATAATGTACAGCAGAGTCAGAACAGTAATCAGAATAGTCTGACTCATGAGGAATTATGGCATTGGCTACTTGCACATGGTGGTCCTGGTAGTGAAATACATGGCAAACCTACTAAGTATTTACTTGACCTGTATTGACACAAGAATTCTAAGTCATGTGAACAGCAGCCTAGATTGAATCACCAGAGTACAGAGTCATGGCCTCTCAATCAATTCCCAGACCTGAATCAGTTTACAGACTCACAACCCCTTGAATGAAGGGGAGGCCGGGTCCCTTTGAGGAAGGACCCCACTACATTGCCAAAAAGTTATGATGTCAATCTTTCTCCCAGCTTTCCCCAAAGGGATCTGAGGCCTTTTATGAGAGTGACTGTTCACTGGGGAAAAGGAAATAATCAGACTTTTCAGGGAATACTGGACATTGGCTCTAAACTGACACCAATTCCACTAGACCCAAAGTGTCATTGTGGCCCAGCAGTCAGAGTGGGGGCATATGGAGGTCAGGTTATTGATGGAGTCTGAACTAAGGTGTGTCTCACAGTGGGTCCAGTGGGTCCCCGAACCCATCCTGTAGTGATTTCCCCAGTTTCAGAATGCACAATTGGAGTAGACATACTGAGCAATTGGCAGAATTCCCACATTGGGTTTCTGACATGTGGAGTAAGGGCTATTATGGTAGGAAAAGCCAAGTGGAAGCCATTAGAACTCTCTCTACCTACAAAAATAGTAAATCAAAAGCAATACAGCATCCCTGGAGGGGTTGCTGAGATTACTGCCAACATCAAGGACTTGAAGGATGCAGGGGTGGTGATTCCCACTATACCCCCACTTAATTCACCTATTTGGCCTTTGCAAAAAAGAGATGGATCTTAGAGAATGACAGTAGATTATTGTAAACTTAATCAGGTGGTGACTCCAATTGCAGCTGCTGTTCCTGATGTGGTTTCATTGCTTGAGCAAATTAATACATCTCCTGGTACTTGGTATGCAGCTACTGATCTGGCCAATGTCTTTTTCTCAATATCAATTTCAAAGGACCATCAGAAGCAGTTTACCTTCACCTGACAAGGCCAACAGTATACTTTCACAGTGGTATATCAACTCCCCAGCACTACGTCATAATTTAGTCCATAGGGATCTTGATTGCCTTTCCCTTCCACAGGAAATCACACTGATTCATTATATTGATGACATTATGCTGATTGGACCTAGTAAGGAAGAAGTATTGATGACTTCAGACTTCTTGGTGAGACATATGTGTGCTAGAGGTTGGGAAATTAATCCAACAAAAATTCAGGCACCTTCCACCTCAGTGAAATTTCTAGGGGTCCAATGGTGTGGGGCATGTTGAGATATTCCTACTAAAGTGAAGGATAAGTTATTGTATCTGGCTTCCCCTACAAAAAGGAGGCACAACGTCTGGTGGGCCTCTTTGGATTTTGGAGGCAACATATC